ATTGCTAATAAATGCTATTTATAATAATAAGAACTAATAGATATAATAGATATAATATATATAATAGATATAGTAGATATAATAGAAATGATAGATATGATAGAATTAATAGATCTAGTAGAAATGATAGATCTACTAGAAATGATAGAAATGATAGAAATGCTAGATTTCCAGCACACTAATTTGAGCCAATCAGAATCAAGTCACATGTATTATAATTAGTACTTTTCATCAAAATCATCCCAATTTCATGATCCCGTAATCAGAATTACATGATCTTATGCTCATTAGAATCGTCTCAGTGAGCTGAATCCAATGGTGGTTGTTTAATCCAAATTGGTTTGGTACATTAAAAGATATGGTCAAAAATGTGTAAAACTCTTAATATTAATATCAGCTTAGTAGGCTAAGGTTGATTTTTTTAAAAAAATCAGCTAACTAAGTTAGCTAAGCTGATTTTATCAATTAATAAAAATAGACTATAAACACTAATTCATCATTAATAAAGATAAATCAACTAGTTAGATATAATCCATGTACATGTATTAATTATTAAGTCACTTAATAATCTTTAATGTTTGTAGTTAATTTTGTATTAGTTAATAAAATTAGCTTAGTCAGCTTAGTTAGCCAATTTTTTTAAAAAATTAACCTTAGCTGCTAAGCTGAGTTTTCAAAAAATCAACTTAGTCAAGTTAATTTTATAATAGGTTATATTAAAAATTACAGTAACTAATTAAGTTTAGGCCAAATTACAATATTTTTAGCATTATGATAATTTGATAATACTGAATTAAAAAACTTAATGACAATTGACAATTATTTAACTAATTTTTTTACCAAATAAAAACAGTTTTAAGATCACATGTCTTTAATTAACCAATTAGGATTATCAACTTTAATTTAGCCAGCTAAGCTAATTTTTAAATATTGACTAAGTCGAGTTGATAAATTTGGATCAACTACAAACATTCATCTGTGACAATTAATAATATTCTGGCTTATTAAGATTTTTTTCTAGATTATGTTAATGATAATTCATACTGCTACTTGATTGCTACTTATACAGCTAATCAGTAGCAATATGAATTATCATTATATTTATTATTATAAATTTTGGGACATCTGCTTATTACCTAAAATCTTTTTAATTATTTAGTAATTTACCTAACTCTAAAAATTACTATATTCAAACTGAAGAGATAAGTAATTTATCCAGTAACAAAAAAGCTTTTAGGTAATGAGCAGATGTCTTAGAATTTATAATAATAGCTATAACACAATCTAGAAAAAATCTACTAATCTCTGATAAGCAGAATATTATTATTACTTATTATCTATTACTTTAATCTATTACTTTAATTTATTACTAATTATTTATTATGCCAATTCAATTTAATTTATTTAATTGCAATTATATGAAATACATATTAATGTTGATTATATGATTTAACTAACTCTTTTATACTTTACATATTCAACAATTCTTTTTATATTATTATTGCTGTATTTTGAAAGATGATTTGTTATAAAACATCTGACTTGGCTAATTGCTTCAATGCCAATTTCACTAAATATATTAAATATATTTCATGCCTTATGTATTATCTGACAAAGATTGCCTATTGTCATTTGATGACTCATATAAGGTAATATTGTGTTGTATATTTGTATATAAGTTGCTTTATCCTTTACACCCTCACTTATTAATTTTCTTACTTGATTCTCAAAAGCTTCAGCATAATCATACCATTTCCTAATTTCTATTGAATTAGACTTTTTTGATTGCTTTTTAGCTTGTTTGCAATATTAAATAAATTAACTAAAATTTGACCTGTTGGTTCGTAGGCTTCAACTAAGCTATCTTCTGTCTCATTAGAAGTAATTAAAACCTTGACAACTTCTGTTATTTTTTTTGGTACTTTTGATCTATATGGTCTTTTTGATAATGTTAATTTGCAAACTTATTTTTTTAAATCAAAATTAATTTTTAATATACATTTTATAATATGAATATTATATAATATTGTATGATAAATTTTAATAATGCTAACCTGTTTATTAGTTTGTACATTGACTTGTGCTTGCTTGCTATGCATTTGCCCACCTTGTGCTTGCCTGCTATTTGCTTGCCTACCTTGTTCTTGCCTGCCATTTGCTTGCCCACCTTGTGCTTGCCCACTTTGTGCTTGCCTAATATGTGCTTGTCTGCCTTGTGCTTGCCCATCTTGTGCTTGCCTGCTTTGTGCTTGCCTACTATGTGCTTGCCTGTCTTGTGTTTGCCAACCTTTTACTTGTCTACTTTGTGCTTGCCCACTTTGTGCTTACCCACTTTGTGCTTGCCCACTTTGTGCTTGTCTGCTTTGTGCTTGCCCACTTTGTGCTTGTCTGCCCTGTGCTTGCCTACACACTTGCACTTGTAGTTTATTAACTTGCACTTGTTCATTAATTTGCTCTTGTTCATTATCATCTTGTGCTTGTAGTTCATTAAATTGCATCTGTTCATCAGCTTGTGCTTGTCATTCATCAGCTTGTGCTTGTAGTTCATTGGCTTGTATTTGTCATTTATTAACTTGTACTTATAGTTCATTAGCTTGTGCTTAAAAAAATGATATGTTTAATATTTTTTCAAGACAAAGTGGAGTTGACATTTCAATATATCGATTTGGTGTTTTATAGTCTTTATATTTGCAAAGACAACAATTATATTTCATAATACATTTTTAGTGAAAGAAGTGCCTGCAGTTAAGTAAAATTACTGATTACAAAAGATTAGATGAAATTTTACAGCTACTTAGTTTGCAAATATTAGAGTCTCTACATTTCACAGAAATTAAATTATTATTATCAAAGTACAATTTACAAGCAAATTTTTTCAGTTCATCTATAATTAGTAGGAAAAATAGTTTTACTATGCACTCACCCAATTGCTTTATAAATATATTAAAAAAAATAGATTTAAGAATTAGTAATCAAATAATATAGACTTATAAGTATAAATCTTATTATAAGTTTAATTTTAACTAGCATCATTTCTGTTACTATAAAAAAGTATAACATAAGTATGTTTCTTACTATAAGATTAAATTTTGGCTATTATCATTACTATTATTATAGAAAAGTATAATGTTATAATGATTTAAAAATGAAATCATAAGTGAGCTATTAGTGGTCATTTAAATTCATAGATTATTCTGAATAATTTTTTTTTTATATTATATACTTTTAGTAATGACAAAATTTCAAAATTCAATATATCACAAATTGACTATATTATTAAAAATATAACTGTATAATGATAATGTATATAGTAATTAATTGCTTATATAAATTAGTTATATCAATTTTAAAATATCAAATTTTTGATTATATATTTATAGATTAGACAAAATCTAGAGATGTTACAGCTGTTTTCATAAATTCTAAAAAATTCAGTAAAAATTAATTAGCCAAATATTTGCTGATTTGTTAAGTTTTAATAAACTTAACAAATTGGCAAATATTCAGCTAATTAATTTTTGCTAAATTTTTCAGAATTTAGTAAGTTGGTCTGGAATTGACAATATTAAATGATTTTAAAACTTTTTTGGATAGTGATTATATTTTAGTTGGTTATGTGCAGGATTTTTAATGAGATTATTTGGCCTGCATTAGAATATAATCTAACTTGCATTAAATATCATTTAACCTAAATTAAATATCATTTAGCCTGTATTAATATTAATGAGCCAATTTCTAATTAGTAATTGACTCTTTTCTTTAGATATACTACAGCAAATTCAAATTTAATAATTCAATCATGAAGGACTTTTATAATTATCATATGATTATGCATTATGAGCAATTTAGAATAATTATTTCTTTAATCAGTAGTTATCTTATTTTACTAATACTCTAATATTTATTATTCTTTTTTCTTTAGATATACTGCAGCAAATTCAAACTACTAATTCAATTATGAAGGTTCTTTACAATTATTACATAATTATATATTATAGAACTAGTTCTTAATTTGCCAATATAAACAAAATTTTGATAATTAGATCAATCTAATTTTATAGGTCAAATTAATGTAAGTTGAATTTTATTAACTAATTTTATTATATTAAAATTTGATAGTCAAATTTATGTTAAATTTTGAACTAATTTTGTTAAAATTTGATAGTTGAATTTTGATAATTATTATTAATGCCACAATTTGATAATTAATACAGATTGTCAAAAAATTCAACATATTTTAATGCATAATTTAACAACTATCGCATGGCTCAATTAAAACATTTGGCCATAATTCAATAACAATAATAATAATAATAACTTGAAATTAAAAAATTTGATTTATTAAATGCCACAATTCAACAACTATTATATAACTTGAATTAAAAAATTAGATATATAATAACTCAAGCACTGAAAATTCGACATGTCGAATAGCATTATTCAAATACAAATAGTGCTAAATATCTATTATTTATATAATTTATATTTAGTGAATAATTGGCATAATGACAGATATTAATTGAAAAGTATAAAACTATTAACTCTTTGTTGTTTCTAAATAATGTTTTAAATATTAAAACAATATTTAAATAAATTATAAATAAATAATTAGTGTAAAGATAGTTAAATATTAGTTAAAAGATATAAAACAATTGATTAACTTATGTTGATTTTTGAATAATATTTTAAATATCATAATAATATTTAAATTAAATAAATAAATGTCAAATATAAAATTAAGTAAATCATTATTCAGCAATAGCATTTTGATTTCATATTATAGTTTAGATGTAACAAGTCATTTTTTATATAATCGGTTATTATGATTAACTATAATGTTATACATAGTTTTTGAAGTTATGTTAATTCAAAATGACATAAATTGATACTAATAAAAATTTTTTTAAAAAAAATATCAATATTAGTATAATTAAATTTAACATGTTATTCTAATCAGTATAATTTTTAAAATAATATATGAATTGTAAATTGTAAATTGTAAATTAACATATAACAAGTATACCAATTATGATATAATACTTATCATATTTCAATTCTAAAACATAAATTCAAAAACAATGTATGCTATTTTTTCAATTAGTTATTTAAGTGATCAGAATTTAAAAATTTTTATAAATATACCCAATTTGAACTGTTTCTTTTTAAAGAACTTTATTTTTTCAATTTTTTTTTAGTTTTTATTTGAAAATTTTATTTTTTTTTTTACTATAGCTAGAACAAGACGTATCTGACAAACATTACAACCTTCTAAATTTGCAACCTAAACATTCACTACTTCTTTGACACAACAATTCACTATTTCTTCAACCCAACTATCTACTACTTTTTCAACCCAACCATCTACTACTCATCCAATTCAATTATTCATAACTACTTTAATCAGACTATCAACCACTTTGATCCAACAATCTACTACTACTTTGACCAGACTATTAACTATTTCAACCCAACTATCAACTATTCTTTTGACCCAACCATCTATCATTTCAACCATACTATCTACCAATTTGACCCAACTATCTACTATTTTGACCTAGCCAGCTGTTATTATTTTTCCTAAAAGAACTATTGCTTCTTCTATCATTTCTACTGTTCATTCATATTGTTCACTACTGAAATTCAAAAGTAGTAGAAGCAGAAGTGAAAGTGATTAACAAATAGAATCTTTATCAAATTATGAATTATTAGATAGAAATAGAAGGCCTAAGAATAGTAAATTTTTATTTACTATAAAAAAAAGAAACATATTAATTTGTAACTTATTACTAATTTTTTTTTTTTTTTACTTAAATGATGATGAATTTATTTATTTTTTTTTTTTTTTGGTATTAAGATGAACTCTTTGGTCTTTTGACTTTTATTAATCACTTATTGGTATTGTGGTTCAATGAACTACTACAGAAGAGCATATAATTGGCTACATATGTAACTTTTCTATATTACCTATTTAAGGAGTCCACCCAAAGATTTCCTACTAATTGTTATACTAATACCTCTGCTTGAGTGTTCTACTTTAAACCTTCTGAACCTGTAATCTGTGTTAACATCACTGGGTTATCTCAGATGCCCAGATCATCATCTCAACCTTAGAACTAATTTATCCTCAAGGTAAGCCTCCCAGAGCCTTCTGTATTTATTTTTACAACTGACCTAGGTATCACTATAGTAGAACTAACACTTGTGGTTAGGGCTAACTATTAAACTGCTATGCTCTTATAGAGTTCATACAAACCTTAGCATCTACTTTACTGCATATCTGAAATACTTTAGTATACCTCTGCTAGTTCATCAAACTCCCAATCCAAATAGCCTAGTAAAACTTATGATTAGTCTATTGGTATATCAGGTCAGCCTGATATCCTTTTCCTCCAGCTGGATCTGGCAGCCTGGTTGGTGGTACCCTCTACCTAGAGGTTTTTGCCCATCCGGCTACTTCAACCTTGGTATCTATTTCATAAGGCTAGCCTTTACAGTAGGCCATTGAAGATCTGACTATCTCTCTACTCAGATCTTTCCAATAAACTTCTTGTTACCCAATTTTAATGAATTTACACAGCCACAAGGACTTATTTAGTGTTTGCACTGCCTAATTGCTGGTTTGCATTTCTTCATTTAACCACAACCTTGTCCCAAAGGACAATGTTATGTGACCTGTTATATGAATGCCTCTATGACCTACCAGTTATGCCAGTGTGACTGCCATTACAGATATCCTAACCCAATTATTAGTAACAGTTGCTATAATATGAATATTATATAAATGATTATCTAAATTTTCACTATCAATGGAATTTGAACACCCAACCTACTACTCGGAAGGTTGACAATCTGATTACTTCACTAGGCCACCACACCTCTTGGTGATGAATTTATATCAATTTATAACTAATATTTTATTTACAAATTTTTTTTTATTTTTTTGTTTAAATAGTAATGTATTTATGCTAATTTATAACTAATATTTCATTTACTAATTCTTTTTTACTTAACTGAATATATGTCGATATTTATAATTATTATTTTTTTTCTTTCTTGAACAACTACCAAATATATATCAATTTATAACTGATATTTATTATTTATTTTTTTTCTTTTTGTTACTTTTTTATTTAAATAATAGCCAAATTTATATCAATTTATAACTAATATTTATTATTATTTTTTTTATTTAAATATGGTCAAATTAATAATGACTGAATTTATGATAATTTATAACTAATATTTATTTTTTTATTTTTTTATTTAAATGGTGGCCAAATTTATACTGATTTATAACTAATATTTATTTTTATTTATTTCTTTTTCTTTTAATTTGTAACTATTTCTTTTTTTTTAGAAAATCATTTATTGTGAACTAAAATCAATAATTTATATGAGATTTAGAGAGACTATGACCATAAAATAATGCATTTAGAAGATACAATTGAAGCATTACAAAACTCTTATTCTATATTAGTTGATAATATTAGTGCATTGCAGATTTTAAACTATTATGCATTAATGACATAGAAGCAGGCCAAGTGGAAAGAAGAAAATAGGGCTAAAACTTCATTAGTCACACAAAGAAGATCTGTTTCTGTAAGAGGTGTAGAGGAAACAGCAAGACAGCATGGTTTTAAGAATAATAAGCCTAAAAGAAAGGCACTTCAAGTATATATTTAAATTATATTCAATATAATTTTACTTATTTTTTTAAATTAAACCTAATTTTATTAATATTTAATATATATTTATTTTATTTTAATTTTGTTTTTTTTAATCAAACCTAATTTTATTATTAATAACATGAACTTTTTGCAATTTTTAAAGAAAAAAGTAGAGAATTTGGCCTTGATATTAATGAAACATAATAGAAATAAAGTGATCATGTGTTTGAAACTATAATCTTTATGCTATATAATCTTTTTGCTAAGCAATTTGGCACTAATTGAACTAAGTTGGCTAACATGTTGAAGCAGTATCTCAAATCAAAATGTAACACTAGGTCTATACATCAAGATAGATTCTGAAGCATGCACTTCGATAAACATATGCATAAAAATTACTGAAAAACTGATGCATGAATTTTTCCTTTATATATATTATGACTTAAAATCAACCTAAATTCCTAGCTAAATTTAGGTCAATTTTAAGTCATAATTTACTAAATTTTAGTTTTCAAAATTTAATTCAATTTTTTGATTTAATTTTACAGAAAATGTTTCAATGGGCTGCAGCATTTAAGTACCTTTATAGAAAAAAGAACAAGCAGATTTCTGATTATAACACAAAGGAAGTAATACAATTATTAACAAATAATGATGTCCATTCACCTGAATTAAAAGATGCTAGTCAAGAAAAGAAAAAGAAAGAACATATGTATGTTAATGTTTATAGCTTGTCTTGGAGGTTAAAAAAGATAATTTTTTTTGTTCGTATTATACTAGAAAAAATTCAATGATTGATATTTGGTATGTCAAATAATATATATAGCATATCATTTGACACACCCAAAATCAATCGAATACATAACAAAATTCAATATTTCAAATCTAAATTTATTAATTACATAAAATTTTGATATTTATTATTTTAATAATTAATTAACCTAGTATATAACATTCTTAATACAACTATGAAACCTAATTTCAGACATCTTTGTTAACCATCATATACACTAATAGCACCCTGGTCTGATAATGTTCCTGATTGGGCAGTAAATGAAAAAAGATGATGAAAGTAATTATAGTGATAAGAACAAAAATAAGAGTAAGAAGAAAGAGAAAGAAGAAGAAAAAGAAAAAGAAGAAGAAAAAGAAAAAGAAGAAGAAAGTAGCAGCAAAAAAAAGACTATAAAAGTAAAGATAATAATGATAGTAAAGACACACAGATGTATAAAAAAAGGATCAGTAAAAGACCAGCTTCTAATTCCATAGAGGAATAACAAAGAAAGTGAAGAGTTTAACCTTTTTTTAGAAAAATCTTTTTTATAAATTTTGTATCTATTTTTTTATTTTATTTTGCTAATAAAAATATATAATTAGTAGCAAGTTTCAAATGCTTTTAATAAATTGGTTTTAATTATATATATAGTAATATATCTTTAGTATAAATTTTGCTTTTAAAATTCAACATCCAAATTCTGAATAAATTAAGATTTGCCCAAAATTTAGATGTCGAATTTTCATATTTGAACTGAATGTTATTAGTAACCAACTGCTGATTATAAGTAGATTTATTATATTATTTGACTGTTGATTAAAATAGCTGATTTGGCCTAAACTCGACTGTTGATTAATTAACTAAATTTATACCAAATGTTTTTAGCAATTAACTGTCAGTTAACTACTGATTTTGACTTATCATTTGGTATAAAATCAGCTAATAATCAACAGTTAAGTTCAGGCTGAATCAGTCATTTTAATTAGCAGTCAATATTCTTATATTTGACTAGTGCTAGTTTGTTCTTTTTTTTTTAATCCTTTCTATGCTATTACAATAGATACTTTTTGTATTCTCTTTCAAAAACTTATTTGTCCCTTGCATGCTACCAGATGCTCTTGTGTTTTTTTGCTTTTGTTTTGACATACTTGGCATTTCATATTCATATATAAATTTGGTCTTCTTTTGTTAAATTTTTCCAATATTAGGAGTTTGTTCAGTATGTATTTTATAAAAACACTTCTTCTTGTACTGCTTCTTCTTGTTGTGTAGTGTACTCTTTTGGTTAACTTTAGTTTTTTTCAAAAGTATGTTCAGTCATAGATTGTTACTTTTGTTACTGATTCTAGATTCTTAATTCTTGTTGTTTTTCTTTACTCTGCATCTAGTCTGACATTTGTTACTAGTTTACATAGAAGTCTTATTAGTATTTCTATTTATTTGTTTCTTACATTAAGCAGTACTCTATTTCTTTACAACTGACTTCTTCTATATATATTATCTTTCAGCTTATTGTTCTTTTTTTCACAAAGCTATCAGCTTTATTATTCTATTTGTCTTTGCTGTAGCTTTTTACTGTAAACTACTTAATTTATATGTTTTTTGTTCTAATTAGATCAATTATCTTCATTATCCAAAGGGTGTTTTTTCTCTTAAAAATTTTATTTCTATTTATACATTCTAATCCTTTACTAATATTTCTAATTGCAACATTATTATTTGTAAATATTTCTAGTTTTTTCTCTTTCATTATGGTCAAAGTTGCTGTCTATATTGCTAATAACTCTACTGCAATTAATATTGATCACCTTTCATCTCTAATGATATTGCTTCTTCTGACCAGTCTTGTGTCTTACTTATTTGCATCTTTTCTATACCCATGTTTTTATCTAATGCTTCTTCTTTGTTTTGTCTATTTG